TGGCACACCCCTTGTCCCCAATTTGGATATATCAATCACTGATTTGTATGTAATGGATTTGTGAGAAAGCCTTCATTAAAGAAGTCTGTTTAACTCTATTCCTTGATGCTTCCCATTTTTTAATCATAGCCCCTTTTTAAATGGCATAGCTCCGTGATGGTGAACCTTTTGAGCTTCGCGTGTCAGCATTTTGAAAAACCCTAACTTAACTCTGGTGCCGTGTCACATATAGAAATTTTTTGATATTTGCAACCATAGTAAAACAAAGATTTATCTTTTTGATATTTATTTTATATATTTAAATGCCATTTAACAAAGAAAAATCAACCAAAAAAATGAGTTTGCCTGTCACCTCTGACACGTGTGTCATAGGTTCGCCATCACTGGCATATCTACTGAACATCAGTGGATCTTTGGCAAATACTATTTAAGGTGGAATTAGGCACAGGATTATGTGTTGGACTAATAAGAGTTAACTCACACCTGGATCTTTGAGGACAAACATGTATTAAACATTCTCACATATCTGAACACGCCTTCATTATTGTTCTTTTAAGAAGAGATAAGCTGCACCTAAGTCTGCTAGCTTTGCTTCCTAAAATTATGAGAGGCATATATCTTTTTTTAAGTGACAGCAATATGGTTTATTCAGCTGTGCCTTAGTACAGGCAAGGGGCTTGCCATGGTGCTCTTGATGTATAAAGGCCAGACTTTCTGCCAGTTCTTTTTTAGGAAAGACACCAGGAAATTGACAGCTATGAGGATGTTGTACACAAGCTCATCATCCGTCTTCTTCACATGGCCAACAGCCACTGGCAGACAAAGCAACCTCTTTATCTGAAATTTGTTCATAGATTTCACTTCGTGGACTTTGGCTACCATGTTCTCACTGGGGGTCAACAGGAAGGGAACTTGCCAGCCTTATTCAGGCCAGGGCCTGGGATTACTGGGATCTGCTTGATGAGAGACTCTGAAGCCAAAAAGGCATCATACTTCTTGGCCAGCTTCTTGACCAGTTTCTTATTCTTGTTGAGTTTCTTCAGCACCCGGATGTCCATGGGAGGTTATTCACAGCCTTGGCCTCATCACAGCGCTACTGGTCCCAAGAACACATGTGGAGAACTTGGGGCGGGAGTGGATTTAAGCCTGACAGTGCCCGAGAAGCATTTGTCCTTCTGAGGGTCATATTACTTCAAGCTGATCTGCAGCTCCACTGTCTCCAAAAACTTCTCATACTTGCACTGGTTCCCATGCAGAACTCCACGCATTGCCTCCTACAGAGTGTCCTGGGAGACTTTGCTGCTCATGGCTCCTCAAGTGGCAAAAAAAAAAAAAAGAGAGAGAGGCATATCTTGAAGTTCTTGCAGGACCATCTTCTCCCCACTTTTGGAAGCGTAGCAGAGAGCTGGCTTAGCAGATCCAACTTTGCTCAAAACAATGAAGCAGATACCAAGCAATAGACAGCAAAAGTTCCTCTTTTCCATCAAGGCCACCTCTCCAAACAGGTAGCCTTCACAGGTACAGAATCACATATACACTCACCTGACTCCATTCCACAAATGTGGGGAACATGCCAGGGGTGGGAAAATGAACAGTTTTATTGCAAATATAAATTCTATAAGGGTTACTAGGTTTAGCAAATAAAAACACAAGATGTCCAGTTATATTGAAATTGCTGAGTAACAACAAAGAATGTGCAAGTACATTCTATATAATATTTGGATATCTATATATATAAAAGCCTAAGCGACCATCACAACTGAAACAACCGAACAGATGACCAAACAGGCTGAGTGGGGTGACCAGGCTGGCGGCGGGTTAGTGAGGGGGGACCAAATGACTGAGCAGCAGGCTGTATGGGGTGACCAGGCTGGCAGGGGGGGCAGTGAGAGGGCAACCAAATGACTGAGCAGCAGGCTGTGTGGGGAGACCAGGCCGGTAGGGGGGGCAGTGATGGGCGACCAAACGACCAAACAGCAGACTGTGTGGGGCGACCAGGCCAGCAGGGGGGGCAGTGAGGGGTGACCAGGCTGGCAGAGGGGGACAGTGAAGGGCGACCAGGCTGGCAGAGGGGCAGTTGGGGGCCACTAGGCTGGCAGGGGGGGGCAGTAAGAGGCGACCAGGCTGGTGGGGGCAACCTGGTCAACAGGGGGTGCAGTTGGGGGTGACCAGGCCAGTAGTGGGGGCAGTTAGGGGCAATCAGGCAGGCAGGCAGATGAGCAGTTAGGAGCCAGTGGTCCCGGATTGTGAGAGGGATGTCCGACTGCCAATTTAGGCCCGATGCCCAGGATCAGGCCTAAACCAGCAGTAGGACACCCCCCGAGGGGTCCCGGATTGGAGGGGAGAGAGGCGGGGCTAAGGGGACCCCCCCATACACAAATTTCATGCACTGAGCCTCTAGTCCTATCTAATAAAGAGGAAATATGCAAATTGACCGTCGTGCTATAACAAGATGGCTGCGCCCACAGCAGAGGCTGAGTTCTGATAACGAGCCTTAATGAGCAATCAGCAGAGACCTGAGGCTGTATGGCAGTGGACCGGGGCAGGGGACCTGAGGCTGAGCCCCCCACCTAGTAGGGCTTGACAGGGGACCTCAGGCCGTGTCCCCCTGCCCCAGACCGGGCTAGGGGACCTGAGGCCGCACCACACGCCCCATCACCGGGCCTTGGGACCTGAGGCCATGCCCCCCCACCCCACGGGGCTTGACGAGGGACCTCAAGCCATGCCCCCCACCCATGGGGCATGACAGGTGACCTTAAGGCACGCCCCCCATCCTGGCCCATGCCGGGGGACCTCAGGCCATGCACCCCACCTGGTGGGGCTTGACGGGCGACCTCAGGCCACGTCCCCTGGCCCAGGCCAGGGGATCTCAAGGCGCACCCCCCAGCCTGGACTGGGGGACTTCAGGCCATGCCCCTCACCCTGTCACCGGGCCAGGCAACCTAAGGCCACACCCCCCCACCAGGTGGGGCTTGACAGGGGTGGGGCCAGCCGGGTCTGGGTCTCGCACAATTTCGAGGCGCACGTGGGTGGGCAGGGACTTGACTCTGGTTCCTGTGGTGTGCCCCAGACTCTGATAAGAGGAAGATTTTCATATACATTTTACTAATTTTTCATCTCTTTCATCTCTGACACTTCTATTATAGAGAAAGGGCAAATAGCAATATTAAAATATTTCCTCTAATTAATTCCCTTTTAATGTGCACCAGGTCACTAGTCTATATATATAAAAGCCCAGCTACTGGAACAGCAGAACAACCAGAACAACTGGTCACTATGATGCACACTGCAGTGGCCAACCGGCCCAATCCAGGCCCCAATCGACCCCCCCAACCTCCTGTGGCCCCTCCCCCCAGCCGGCCTCACCTCTGATCGGCCTCCCCAACCCCGATCAGAGGCGGGGCCAGTTGGCCAACCTCCTGCGTCCTCTCCCCCCCACCGGCCCAGCCCTGATGGCACCCATTGGGGTGGGCCCACCAGACCCCACCCGTGCACGAATTTGTGCACTGGTCCACTAGTAATTATAGACTAAAATTTATAGACTGTCTGAAATTCTAAAATTTATAGACTGTCTGAAATTCAAATTCAACTGGGAATGCTATAGTTATCTGACAACCATACTCACCACTGGAATGCCAGTATGGTCCCTTTTGCTTAGCCTAAATCATAGAATGAAGAAAGTCCCAGGGATTGTGTGTACTCTACCATTTCTCAACTTTTGAGATTTTCCTCAATGAACTCTATTTTATGTTGGTATAGTGTGGCACAGGTGTGCATCTATGATCCTAGCATGGCACAAAAGAAGGAACTGATTTATTTTTACCACTGTAATAATCTAGAGTACAATCAAAGACAAAGAACAGAAAATATTCCTGAACTCTGGCAGTTATATGTCCATGGACAAGTTTATGTATCCTTTAGGCTTTGGTTGTCCTAACTCCAGTAGCCCCTACAGCACTAACAGTTTACAATTCCATGATTCTAAGCAAAGTTTGCATTGTTCTTGATGACTAACCGGAGGTCATGCTTTTATATTTTAGAAGCAGAGGAAACAAACTCAAAAGTTAAAGAAAACTAAGGGACTCGCTAAAAGATAAACCTTATATTGATGAAAATTCACTTGCTTCAAAAGAAATGTTACCTTCAGGCTAAAAAGGCACCTTAAATATTTCAGCAACAATAGCTGTTATTCATCATCCACATAACTTTAAACACTTGTCATTTCCTGGGGAGTCAGTACCAAATAATCTTTATTCCAAACCATTAAAAAAGCAGTTGACTATTTCATTTCTTTGACTGCCGTGTGGTACTTCTAAGAAACTCTAGAGCATTCTTCAAATTCCATGAAAGGTATATATGTAAAAGGAAAAAGCCACCTTCTCTAATAGGTTCCAAAAAGTTTGATTTATATAACATTTCTCTGCACAAAGAATTTATAATGCTAATTTCTTTTACTTTCTGCTTAACTAACTTGCTGCTGTTAAAAGACAGTGATGATAAGAGTTTTCTGTAATTAAATAACATGTCCTCTGGTAATCTGAATGCCAAGCACTGTTTTCAAGTGATTAAGAACACATTCACCAACATATTTAGCCTAACATAAAATAAATAAGCGATTCCAAATCATGCAATTGGCTAAGAATTATGACATTAGGGTTACCAATTAAATAAAAAGTCCAGTTAAATATGGATTGCAAATTTCAAATTCCAAATTTGGAATATACTTAAAATTATTTATTATCTGAAATTCAAATTTAATTGGGCATTCTGTATTTTTATTTGCATATCTGGCAATTCTATGTGGGCCACCTAATGTAAGACATTTGCTAGATTTCATGTTTCTTTCCCCTTCTTTTGATCCCCTCGAGTTGAGATAACTAATTTTCCAGCCAATATTTTCCTTATTAACACATCTCTTTGCTTTTAACAAAGTCAGGTTCCCACTACCAAATCTGTAGTCTGTAGGACATACAATCCGAAGAGAACAACATTTTACCTACCTGTGGGTAATATATGAGAAGTCCACATAATAAAATATTTCTTTCTTTCACTTCCTTTGCTAGTTCCCTAATCTGCATTAGGTTTTCCATTTTATGATCAAAATGTACTGATTTATAATCAAGAAAATGCACCTGCAAAATAATATAAAAATTAACAATTAGAATACTTTTTCTTCACTTTTCTTTGAACATGTAACATTAAAGAAACTAAAATTATAATATTATAATTATTTTTACCAATTTGTGTTAATTTGTAGTTAAGCATTCCAAGCCATAAATATTTAATATGATTAATGAATCATCCTTTATAAATACAGATGCAGTAAACACTCATAGAGAATAAAATGCTGAAAAACATTAAGTGCTAATATTGTTTCAACTTGAGACAGAGTCAAATGTATGAAAATATGATCATACCAATTCACTCAACTTAAATCATAATTTGTAATTTGAAACTAGGCAGAAGGTAAATATTTATAAATATATGTTAAATGAACAATATCAATAAAATTCAAGTATGCTTACTTAAGTACATGAAGTTCTTTAGAAGAATCTAATTCAAAGTAATTAATTGGATATTTAACAAATAATAAACTATTTCTTAAATTTAAAGGAAACTTATACAGAATTATTTTTAGCAGTGTTAAAATAACATTTTCTTAAAATTATTCAAACAACTTTTATAAACATTATTTTTAATTTAAAATTTAACAACAGGGTGCTCTTTCATCATTTCTCTAAATTATTGTGGTTTTAGTACTATTTTTATTTTATGGAATATAAAAGACATGCAGCCTTAAAATAAATAATTTAAAATGCAAATGCACATATAGAATGAACATTCAGAAATAGGTATATTCTTTCACATTACCAAATTATCAAAACTTTCAAGGATTGCAATTTGTTCAATTATGTACATTTATTGACTAGAAAAATTTTAAAGTATACTCCACCCTGACTCTCTCCTACTAATCCCTTCCCTTTGTCTCTGTTCATTTATATGAATACTAGAGGCCCAGTGAATGAATTTGTGCATGAGTGGGATCCAGCAGGCCTGGCCCCAATCAGGGTGGATTGGGACTTGGCCTGTCAGGAGGAGGAGACGGCAGGAGATTGGCCGGCCAGCCCACCCCAATCAGAGTCCAAACAGGGCTGGGCCAGCTGGGGGGAGGGGCCGCGGGTGCCTGGCTGGCAAGCCCCGCCCCCAATTGGGGT